AGCATTTTCAGAGGCAACATGAAGAGGTTGACTTGGGCAAAGCTTCTGTCACATATTTTAAGAAAACCAGTGTCCTTTGGCCCCTGAATTTATGACCTCTAAATGTGAGAGAGTCCCCAATGAGGTAAGAAGATCCCGAGGGCCTGAGTGAGGAAGAGATTGTGAAGTAGTACAGTTCCAAATTGCAGAGTGCTGTGCCTACCACACTGAGCTCATTCTTCAGGGAGGACTGGGTGGCAGAATGACACTGGGCTTTGCCATTTTGCAGTGCCAGGGCAGCTGTGCCACTGGCACCAAGAACAACAAGTGCTCTCAGGGGCTCTGGCTCTTTCAATGTGATGCCACACATATGGATTTTTGGAAGTGGATTTCCAACAGCTTTCTTTCAGCTGTCTCCTGAACCCTTGCTATCTTGCAGATGACAGTGGTTTCTGTTTAGACAGCTGAAGGAGGACAACTTTATATAATGGAGGTTAAAAACTCTAAAGCTCCTATAAATCTTATGTTTTAAATGTCAAAAGAATTAGAAACTGAGGCTATAGCTTTGATTCTTAACAATATCTTGGCAGAGTTTTCCTTGTTTGTGTTTGCAGTATTAGGGACCAAACACAAGGTCTCATAACACGAGGCAAGCGCTCTCTTACTAAGCCACCTTCCCACCCCTTAATCGTTCATACTTATTACCAAAGTTGGCTGAAGCCAGTAGTTTGTTCTGTAAGATTTCATATGAATTAGAGTTAGTTCTGATGCAGTGAAAAATGCTAATGTTGCTGCTATGGCAGAGTAGTGAAGATAATTCTTCTTTGACTATTGTTGAAATCTATTGTGGAGTCACCATCGTATCTAACAATGAATAACCATAGCATGGGTGTAGTAAGATTTTAAATACTTAATAAAGTGGTAGGTTGAAGATAAATGTGGATAAGTTGTTCTAAATTCTTTCAATTGACAAAGCAAACATTTGTTTATCTTTGGCTTAAAAAACCTTCAAGTATAATTTTTACTGTCAGCATAATTTTGCTACATAAACTCAACTTGTGAGTTCTTTTCTTACTATGATTTCTTTCTTTCTCTCTTTCATCTTTGAGGACTCTCCGGGGAGAGTGGCCATAAACCAACACAGATGTCACCTAGGGGGGACTGACCTGAGCTGAGGTGGGGCTAGGGAAACAGGTAAGATGGCATGAGGAGGTGACACCAAAATACAGTACATGAGACAGAAGAAGTATGTCGTTATTCATCTGAGAGTGACCAGAGTTTCGGACAGAAGATGCCTGGTGCCAACCAACAGATGTAGGTCTCTCTGCACCTCTATTAAGGTCCACCGGTTTTGTCCCTCAGGTTTCCAGCAAGGGCTGGGGGCTCATTTAGAGAGAACATGTAGGAAGGTGGGGCACTTACTCATGAGACTCTGGTGCTAACCATTAGGCTTTCTCAAGGTTAGCAGCTGTGAAGCGGCTGCCTTTGGGGTGAGTGGGATCAGGAGCAAGGGGCTACATCTCAGGCATATGGGGGGAGGATGTTTTAATTAGGCTCAAAGTAACCTGGTTTCAAACCACTTGTGACAGTCCTAAAAATGGGTGACCCTATGTCATATATAGGTAAAATCCCTTTGGCAGTAACCACATTAAGCAACTTTATGACACAAGTTTAGCTTTAGTTTTAATTGAATTGAATTAGTAAAGATAGAAATTCTACTGCAAAGTTAGACACATGATGAATTGATACAGAACTTCGATCAGCTATGAATTCATGGTTTTAAATATATGAAGACAAAGGTACAAAGAAATATAAACCCATGCAGATCCAAGTTCTTGAGAGTGTCTAAAGCATCGACACACCAGTAGCAGTGACCATACCCAGCACTGAGATCTCAGTTTCCAAATATCCTTCTCCACAAAAAGAAAACGAGGGATCCTCTGAAAAAAGACTGATTCCAGAGCTGAAGCAAAGGAAATACAATGGGAGCCCAGAACACATTCTGGTGCCAGAGAGTGAAGAGGCATACAGAGAACTGCGGAGGCAGGCCAGAGGACAAACGGGCCCACTTAGAGATGTGCACACTGGCCAGATCCTGGGTAATTAAACAGTCAGAGTGAGTGATGATAGTAGTGGTTTATAACCCACTGAACAAAATCCCGTGAGATCCCATAATCCCACACAGATAAACAGAGAAAACATTAAATCAGAATGAAGAGAATGATCCTCCTAAGAGGAGAAAGCCACCTAATGTAATTGTCCAACGACCAGGCTCAGCTAGGAGGACCACTTGAGCCCAGGGGCTCGAGACCAGCCTGGCAACATGGTGAGACTCCATCTCCAAAGCCACCAACAGTAACAGCAACAAAAAATAATGTGTTTGGGACTTCACAGTGTGGCTCAGTGGTACAGTGTTCACCTGCTGAGTTTGAGCCTCAGCACTGAAACACACAGAGAGAGAGAGAGAGAGAGAGAGAGAGAGAGAGAGAGAGAGAGAGAGAGAGAGAGACAGAGAGAGACAGAGAGAGACAGAGAGAGACAGAGAGAGACAGAGAGAGACAGAGAGAGAGAGACAGAGAGAGACAGAGAGAGACAGAGAGAGTGAGTTAGAAAATCACCATCATAAGAATTTATTTGGGCAAGAATCATCAATAGACACCCAACTAGTAGGTGAAAATTTTAGGAGGAGTGAGAGAGTGAGAAGTATTCATAGCCTCAGGTATCTTCCCAGTGGATGTTTATTAATTTCAAATAGAAAAGTAATGATAATCTATACAGAAGAAACCTGGAAGTCACCACCCTAACTAGCAATGTGATACATCACCTTCCCGTGCTTCTGATATAAGACACTTAAGAATGTAACACTGTACCTAGTATTTCCCCCAAATGAGTAACTTGAATCCAAACATGAGAAAGTCAGACAAATCCAACATGACAGAAACTCTATGAACTAACTAACCTATACTTTTCAATAGTTTCAAGGCTAATAGAAATTTTTAAAATTCCAAGGAGCTGATCTAGATTAAAGAGATGACTATTGAATGAGATGTGTCATCTGTGAATGTGTAATGAACAGTGTAGTCACTGGCTATAAAGAATGTTAGCAACCAGTTGGCAAGACCTGATGACACAGTTGGCAAGGTCTGAGTAAGACCTGTAGATTAGATGATGGTATCGCAGCAGTATTAGTTTCCCGATATAATCCCACTCTGATTATGTAAAAGAATAAAACAGAAGGAATTGCACAACTGCATTTAGTTATAAAGGGGCATCTTGTCTTCAGAAGAGGGGGCGGTGGGGGAAGAAAGTAAAGTCAGTGGGTAAGATGCTAGCATCTGGGGGGCTGGGGTGGAAGGGACACAGGATTTCTTTTTCTTTTTTTTTTTTTGTCTTTAATATTTGAGATTTTACTGGTTGTGTTGAGGATCAGTACACATGATTCACTTTGTACACAATTTTTAACACATACCAAAAAATACCATGTATTGTTTTTCAGTTGCTCCAGTGACTTTCCAGCTTCAAATTTAGAGGCAAATTTTCTGTAAGAGGATTAAGCACCAGCATTTTCAAATGCTGACAAAGTGTTACTTAAGTCCCACCAATTCACAATTTTGTATCACATACACTACATATTCAAAGTTTTGATCTTTCACAGCACATTAACAAAATGAGGCAAGCGAGACTACCTCGACCAAAGGATTCTGACAGGGCAACAGTTAGGAAGTAGTTTACTTTAGGAAACAGTTCTACTAAAAACATGGGGATAGAAGCCATTTAAAGTATCCAAGACATATTAAATGCAGACTGTAATTCCAAATTGCCATTTAGAATGCTTTGCATTGCAGGGTATAAACCTAACCCCCACCTATGGAATGTTAAGCTGACACCCAAGACAGCCAAAGCTTGCCATAATTGAATATCCCACTACTTCTGGGATTTCTTTGTACTATGCTTGCAACTTTCTTGTTTATCTGAAATTATGCCAAAATCAAGGGAAAAGTAAATGATCTGGCAATTTAGATCCTAAACACAGACACACAAACACATGCCCACACATAACATTATCTTTTAAAAATTGCTTTTTTTTCTGTTCTATTCCTGTTTGCTTCTGCTTTCTGGTTTTGAATGAATTCTGCAATTGCTTTAAGAATTTGTAAGCTTATTTTTGCTGTGGCTATCATATTGTTTTAGAGTGGTTGTTGAGATATCTTTCCATAGGGCTGATAGACTAGAGTTCAAATGTCCTCTAAATCATTTTGTAAACTACAGCTCTCCAGCATGACACGACGACAGCTGCATGTGTGGTGGGTTATTATTTTTTATAAACCCAACTCTCCTCATAGATGGGATTTTGCCTTCAAAGTCAGACCTGGAGAGGATATAACTTATTGGGGTCTCCTTTGCTTCCTCACAGATAGGGAGCTATCTGCAGAGTTCAGTGTGCCGCTATATATTCTTCCTTTCATTGTATGATGATATCTTTTAACTTCATTTTATTGAGTAAGCGTTGGTATACATTAAAGAAACATTGCTTATTCCACATACCAACTATATATATATTCTCTTTCCATGAAAATAAGACCTAGCTGGAAAGTAACCAGTCTTGAAGACTAAAGCTCTAGAACGCCTGGCCTGACTGTCCTCCCGGCACTGTACTCTTGTTCAGTTGCTGCTCTATAAGGTGAGGAGAGGTGACCTGGGCTGGAATTTCTAATCTATAGTTTTCAAGATTGATCTTCCAGGCAGCTCTTATTTTGGGGGAAATACAGTCTTATGCTTTAACAGCATGGGAACCTACACTACTGTATTAGCCCAGAATCACACAATGAGCTCGTGAAAGCAAAAGCAAGGTTGATTTTACTTTAAAGGGCTTCAAGCTGTACCTGTTACCTATAGGATTCATGTAATGAATTTTGATAATTACATTGGCTTCATCTGAATTTTTGAGTAGATGATGATTCATGTTTACTATAGCAATAGTGTACAATAATAACAATAATAAAAATAATCATATTCTATACCTCATTCAGGCAAAGGAAAGCTGGAGTTGCAGATAAGTCAACAAACCGCTCATCTTGAATGTTAATCGTGGGCACTACGGCGTAACCGATGTCTGGTTCAGACCCTTCACCCTCCTCCTCTTCCTCTTCTTTTTCTGTGTCTGTGGAGCTATCTTCCATTTCTCACAATTCTGAAATAGAAACCATTTCACATTCAGCTTTTTAAGAGTCTCTTCACATATAAGCAAAATGAGCAGAAAATAGAGTAGCGAAAAACTGAAACTGAGGATTTTCTGCCGAGTTTCAGGAGCCCCCAGACCCAGTCCTAGCCCAGGTCCGGTGAGTGTG